TCCCTGCAAAATAGGGTACACCATATTTTCTAAGGCGTTGTTGGATTTAAGAGCATCAATAAATGTCATTCCTTATTCCTTGTATAAATCCTTACAACTCGGCCCGCTACATCAAACTGGTGTAGTGATTCAACTAGCGGATCGATCTAATACATACCCAAAAGGTGTAATAGAAGATGTGCTAGTAGAAGTAGAAAATTTGGTTTTCCCTGTTGATTTCTATGTTCTTGAAATGGGGGATGATAACCAAACAACACCCATTCTTTTGGGAAGGCCTTTTCTGAAAACCGCCAAAACAAAAATTGATGTGTCTAGTGGTTCATTAACGATAGAATTTGATAACCAAAAAGTAGAATTCAACATATTTGATTCTACTAAAAAACAAATTAAAAATCAATCTCTTTGTTCTTTAAATGTTTTTGAACCACCAACACTGAATATTTTTGTTAAGGAAGAACCCAGAAAATCCATTTTGAAAGGAAAACCACCTACCATTGAAGTGGTAACTAGGAAGAAAATTCGACCTTACTGGAAAAGGCCGAGGAAGAAAGCTGAAACGTGTCCTAACATGGCCTTTGAAAATAAAACAAGGGATACTCATGATCCCACTTAAAACAGAAAATAAAATAAAAATAACGTCGTGCCGCGACATTAAATCAAGCGCTTCTTGGGAGGCAACCCAAGTTTGTATTTTGATCATTTTCATTTTTTTTTTTGTGTGTGATAAAATCTTTTCAAAAAAAAAAAAAAGTCACCTGGGATCACACCCGGCCGGGCACAAAACCTACCCGGTCGGGTCACTGCATAAAACACAACACCCGACCCAATCGCCCGGGCGAGGCAGTTGTGCAACCGAGAAAATCAAAACACCCGACCGGGTAACTTCAATACACCCGGCCGGGCGTTTTTTGAGAAAATAGCTACTGGATAGTGGGAAGTTAGACCCGACCGGGTCAACCAACCCACCCGGCCGGGCTTTTTCGTGAAAATCATTCTGGATAGCAGGGAGTTAAGCCCGACCGGGTCAACCAACCCACCCGACCGGGCGAACGGGTGAAAAAACGCATAAGGGGTCGGGCAGACCACCTTTCTTCCCCATTTCTTCTTCTTCCTTCGAGCAAAACACCCTCCCCCTCCATTATTGAACACCAAAAGCTTCGTTTCTCCCTCAATTTTTGCCCAAATTCACCAAATAAAATCATTTTATTCATCTCCTTCACCCCCTCTTCCAATTTCCACCCACAAAAATCACCCAAATTCATCCCCAAGAGAAACCCAAAAACCCTAACCCCCATCTTCATAAGGCCGATTTTTGGCCTATAAATCCCAACAAATCCCAATTCTTCTCCTAATAATCATCCTCACCACTCTCACAACCCCAAAATACCCAAAACCCACCAAAAATCCAAAGTTCCAAACCCCACCATACCCAAGTCCGAAAATACCAAGAAAAATTCCAAAAAAAAAATCAATTTTCATGGCTCCAAAAAAGTCCAAAGCATCTTCTTCAAGAGGTAACCAAGAGATTTCACCCGTTCCCGGTTTTGAGAGTGTGAAGTTTAACACCGAGGTCCACAAAAAGCGCTTCATAGAGCAAATCAAACGGGAGGTAAAACAATCCCGTTTTATATGCATTACTACGCTATTGTCATTCATGCTTGATGCGATTATGCGTGAGATTTTCACCAACATTGGGATGCTTAGGATATTTGAGATGCAATATGTTACCTACCCACATTTGGTGTATGAGTTCTTTAGTTCATTTAAGCAAATAGCGAATGTTGATAATCATGCTGAAAGTAGAATCACATTTCGTTTGTTGAATGAAAACCGTTCATTGACCAAGCGGGAGTTTGCCCAACACTTTGGACTCCCCTTGTTCAATGAAGAACGTGAATACGACACTTTTGTGGGTGTGGAAATGTGGCAAAGGATGACAGGGCAGGTGGATGTGGAGCTTAGACACCTTAGTGTGAAACATGTACAACATCCGGTCTTCCGAATTTTCTTGAAATTTTTATCAAACTATTTTCTTGGAAGACCGAATAACCATCACACTAGGGTCTGGGATGTTTGTATTCTTGGACAAGCTGTTTTACCAGGTCCGGACCACGTGGATGTTGCCTCCATCCTATGGGATCACTTCGAGACAGTGGCAACTTCCACGGGAACTATTAGGGTAGGGGGTTTGATTACACATTTAGCCACACTCTATGGCTTTGTAGACCCAGGCCCCATTACCTCAGCACAGCTTGTTTGCACATCATGGCTCCTGAAAAATACCAAAGATATTATTTTTTCCCATAAAACACCCGGTGGGGTAGATATCTACAATTGGTTAATTGATCCACCACATCCTTTTTACACACAAATACCCTCAGCCGACCTCCCTTTGGACCTTCTTAATCACCAAATTGGTGATGGACACCACTATTGTCTCCTTGGAAGAATACCACTCCACTACCAACAAGAACAACCCCAACAAGAATAGCCTGCACATGAACCACCACCCCTCATCCCTGAACAACCTCAACCACAACCCAATGCTCACCAATATTCACCATTTGAGCAAGAAATGCTAAATAGCATGAATGCTCTAAACCTTAACTACACTCAACTTCGGGGGGAAGTTGTTTTGTATAGAACTGAGCAAAGGCAGCACTATGAGAGGATTGAGGAGCAAAGGCAAGCGGATTGGCGGAGATACGAAGAAGATCGGCGGAGAGATCAGGAGGACCAGAGGAGGACTTTTGGTCCTATCTACTCATATGTAGCACATCAGGGCGACTTTGCCGCTATGACTACTCCTCCTCCGGCACCCTCATGGTATAACCCCACTGAATGGGGTTATTTTGGCGGTTCGAGCTCTAGTGGTGGAGGCGGGGACGACGGATACGGTGGTGATCGCATGGATGAGGATGCACACTTTGGGGGCTATCAGGGCTATGGAAGATTCTATGATGGCGGAGATGCGGGCGGGCACTAGGGACTGTGCCATGGACTAGCGGTGGGGGAGATCTGTCCGGTATGCTCACATTCATACTCTTGATTCTTGTTTAAAAAAAAAAAAGCTTGTTAAGTTGAAAACCCACAAAGGGCCGCTTAAGCAAAAATAAAGTAAAAATAAGAGTGAGTCTGTGAGATTTATTGAAGAAAAATGTGGGAAGCTGGGTTGAAAACCCGAAAGGGCACCTAGGCAAAATGAGAGAATGAGAGAAATTATTTCTTTTGATTTTGCAGGATCCTAAGGGTGGTTACTAAAGGAAGTTCATTGCATGAGGAAAAAGAAATTGAAGACCCCTTGATGTATTCTTTTTATGTTTGGGGATACTTTGTGAATATCTTGGTTCTAAAAACACTTTGTGATGGATGATGATCTTATCATTTGAGGATTTTTTTGGATTGCATTTACTCGAGACGAGTAAAGATTCAAGTGTGGGGGTATTTGATATGTACTAGTTTGTAGTGCATAAATCTATGTTTTTATATTTATTCTGTGTGGATTGTTTACCGCTTTTAGTTAGTTTTTAAGCAATCATCTTCATTTGTTTGTAATTGATTTTAATCATTTTTAGCAAGTTGTAAAGTAGTAGTAGAGTTATTGGCAAGGAAAAGAAGTGAAAAGAAGAAGAAAAATATCCAGGTGCACAGACCCGGCCGGGTTAGACACTTCACCCGGTCGGGTCTGATTTAACAGATGCAGGTACTCAGGAAATTACATCACCCGGTCGGGTGAGGTATTTCACCCGGTCGGGTCCGACTTGACCCGGAACACCAGAACGTGCCGAAGATCGTCAGAACGTGTAGGATATTTGATTTTGACATACACCCGGTCGGGTGGGCACTTTACCCGGTCGGATACCCGGCCAAAGGTGTTGAAAAACACCTATAAATAGCCCCATTTTCCTTCACAAATGAACACCCCTTCTTCCATACTCTTAAGCTCGGTTTAGAATAGTATTTCTTTTATATTTTTATAGTATGTTTAGTCTCCAAATGAGGAACTAAACTCTCCCATCTTGGTTTTGCTACTTTGAAGCTTAATGAATTTGTAAGTTGTGAGTTATTCTCCTTAATCTTCTTCCTTGAATATTAATTCTTGCTTTAAATACTATTTCTATATCAATGTTGGGGAGTACGTGTTACTAAGATGACAATTAGTTAACATCTTGATATTAACTATAGTAGGATTCATCTTCTTTAATATTCTTTCTTGAGTATTAATTAATTCCTATTCATATTTCATATTAATATTTTGAAAATTACTTAAAGGATCAACTAGTTTTGTTTCATATATTAATTAATACTAGAATCGGTCGATTAATACGCTTGTTATTAATTCGGTCCTTTCATGGTAGTAAACTTGGATTATTAATGCATGCATCTCATGGTTAATAATCTAAGGGGAATTAATTATATTGATTAAACCAATAAACCGCTTGTGTTGAGGTTGTCAATCTCAATCGTTTTCATCTTAAGTTTATTGCTACTATCAATTTAATATACGGCGCTTGTTCTATATTGACTCGATAGTAAGTTTTATTAATGAACGCTTCTCGTTATTTATAACTACCCTCGATGAACTGGATATACTCCTCGATTGAGTATTCGAGAGGAAGATAGTTAAAGATATAACCGGGATCGACGAACATTTCATTAAGTGGATAAAAGCAAAGCCAAGTCTTCTTCTCATTAATTAAAACCACATAACTCGTTCATCTTCGTGTTCAATTTTAATTAAATCCTTCAATCCAACCCCCCCCTTTTATTTACTAGTTTTATAAAAAGAGAATTATTCCTTTCCCTGTGGATACGAACCTTACTACACTATATTACATATTAGTGTCGTATTGTATTATTATTTTGAGTGCACATCACGACAAAGTGTATGTCACGGAGCAAACCACTCACGTATGGCGGAGGAAGTGCCACGGAACATTCTTTAATTTATTACAAAGAATGAGAATTAGCCTTCATTAGATACGAAGTACGGAGTATCTGGTTATATATAAATTGTGTAAGGAAGTTAAGTTGGTCTTTTTACCGTGTGTACAGTGCCGACTTTCAACCTCCGTCTGTTGCTTCCGTTTGATGGCGTGGTCTGCTTCCCTCTTGTCCTTCTTTTTCCTCAGTATACATCTACCTATTTTCTCCCTGATTCACAAACTATCTCCTCCCCAATTCATAAGTAGGGGTTCGCACGTCCCGTTGTCAGTCTGCAAAAGTCTTCCGCCGAAGGAGCCGCCCCTATGTCCATCTGCAGAAATCTTCCACCTGAAGACGCTGCTCAGCGCCTTGGCCTGACTTTTTGCTTCCTCCGTGGCCCTGTTCTTCTTCAGTAGTTTTGGCAATCCGGTCTTTACGGACTTCCAGAAATCCAAAGCTGCAGGTATTAATAGTATTTGTTAGTTTTATGCATATTAGCTTCTGACCTTGATGATTTCTTCACTTCTTTCTGCAATTGGCCATGAATTAGGAGCATGTGATTTTGAAATTTTGCTATCAGGAGTTCTAAAGACTACAGAACACTCTCTACGCCATTGTTGAGAATAAGTTGACTCATTTATAATTATAATATGCACTTTTTATTTGACTGATTGTTAATTTCTTATTATTTTGTTGTTATTTGTCATTTGCGTTTTGCACTGATGCAAAACCTTAAGCACCTGGTTCCAGCCAGGGGAAGAGAAGATAAGGGCCAATGGACCTTCAACAATCTTCTTTGTTTAGGTTATCTAATACTTTCTACTTTATCTTATATATGTATATGCATATATACATTGTTTGTACTAAAAACGTTTGGCCTTTGTGAATTTGTAGCCCCGGCGATATATCATGCTTTGCACGCCGGTAGACGGTTCTTGGTTTGGTGAACGGTTCCTACTCTTCTCTCTCTCATTCTCAAGGGACATGTATGTGTAATAGCTTCATTAATTTGTTTGATGTTAGGATAGCACAATAAGGCCCTAAGATGTAGATAGTTGATGATTCCTAGCGGGTTAACATATTCACTTTAATGTTCTACAAATATTTAATTAAGATACTGATTAAAGCTGGGAAGAGGGTTGGTGAAAAGATTTTGCAGGTGATTTATGGACAGAATAAGAATGCCATAATGGTAAATTCTTAGATAAAATGAGATTGAAACTAGAATGAAGAAAGAAACATATTCCAATCAGAAATATTGACCAATAAAAAAAATAAACAATTTATGTTGTTTTTAGTTTCTTTAGTTGTTCTGAGTTTTCCATGAAGGAAAAAATTTCGATGCTCCTATTCGCAGGAAAAAATTTGTAGATGATTTTTGTCCTCCTTGTTCTAGCTATTGATGCACACTTATTTTTGTGGTTCCATTCATAATGTGGCTTAAAGAGTTACAAAACAATAAACAAACATCCCGATCCTAGAAATCCAATGGAGGGTGAGGAGCAAAGGAATGTTTCGACCTTTCCTGGCTTTGTAGATTGCATTTATCTCGATGCTCCTAATGTGTTACAAATTCAATATCAAGTTATCTACAACAAAGTTACATTTCTCCATAAAATGCGTGTGCCATTACTCTTTTGCCCCAAATTTGGTAGGATGGAAAGCGTGTTTTTGTTACTTTGTTCAGTAGTCCATTTATTATGTTCTACCTTGGACTAAACCTTTGTTGGCTTCAAACTTTTTACCTTTTCTTAATCCATTCTTTTCTCTTTTCGTTTAAAAGGGCATTTTCAACTGTGGGTACACCGGACTATATTGCTCCAGAGGTTCTGGTGAAGAAAGGATATGGCATGGAATGTGACTGGTTAGTTATTATCTTGTTCCATATCTTACTTTGCAATTTTTGATTAATTATTTTTCTTAGTTTTTAACTATTTTGGCATTTAGTGAAAGTGTCTTCTCATTGAATTCTGTTTATATTATCCGCTTTGTTACCGCAAACCTCCTGGTTGCTCTCATAGCTAGCTTTTTTTAATGGTTTGTGTTTTCAGGTGAGAGTTTGCCTGCCTGTTATATTTTTTAGTAAGTGGTTGTTTCTTTGATTGATAAAAGATAGGAACTTTTGGTTAGGGGTCTGATAGAACTCAAGTAATGAAAAAAGAAAATATTTAATTTATCAATCAGTATTGTAGAATTTGTAGCTTATGGGTATCACTCATCTCTTGCAGCAAGTATTTTAAAATTATGTGCCCTTCTTTTCACTGCCATTGGATTTATTCTTTTAATCAACATTAACTTATGACTTCTGCTAATTTAACCTTTTTTATTTGTAGGATCTGTATGGTTGAAATGAAGAAGGTGGAGAGACACTCATGATGGAGTGCAACTGTAAAGGTGAACTTGCTCTGGCCCACCAAGAGTGTGCAGGAAAATGCTTTAACATCAAAGTTTGTGATTTTTGAATAGATAATGTATGTTAATAATAGTTTACCTTTTTAATCTGAATTTCAGGAGGATTAACTTCGGATGAGCTAGCAAGTAGGCAGCCTGAGGAACAAGAGCTCATTCAGGTTTTTCTAAGCTCCTTATTGCCCTTATAAAATTTGAACTTTGCTGTTTGTGTAATGCTGAGTGCACCCATTGGTGGATGTGTGTTGGGACAATCTATCTGGTGCAGATGACGGGGCAATTTCTATTTCAGACTTCTTTCTTGATGGTTGGTCATATTATAAAAGCTAGCTATGAAATAGAAGAATGTGACAATTTCGCTGATCATATTATCATGCCTGAGATGACCGGCTATGATTTGCTCAAAAGAATCAAGGTATTTGCCATATACTACATCCAACACTCATTTGCTTATTGTCTCAACAAACTTTCAAACATTTTTAACTAAATAATTTATGATTGCTTCTTACGGAGTATTGTCACTTTATATTCTACGAACCACATCATAATTCATATATACAATTTTTATTTCCACAGTTGAACTCATATCCTTGAAAGCTAAATGTGATCACTGATGAAAATGTTATCCTTTTAGTTAGCAGGCAGTGAAGTAATCATATTGCTTTTATCCATGTCGGTTGTTCTTTACATTAAAACTTCTCATTTGATGTCCCACTTCTCACATTTTTTAGTAATTCATTTTAGAATGTTGAAAAATACAAAATGGATAACCCTAGGAAATTTCACTATCTGACCCAATCCAACTGCTATGAATTGGATGGATTGGATTTTTTCCCCATTTACCCCAGTGCCGCAAAGGCTCCCACCTACGGTGGGGTAAGGGGGGTCGGATGTACGCAGTCTTACCCCTATACTAAAGCACAAGGAGACTGTTTCCGGATGACTCATAGTGACAATCGCGTCCAAAATTGCATGGACTGACTGTTGCTTCCTAACAAAGAAGTGCAGACAGTTAAGAGAGCCATTTTGCTTTATTCCATCATATTCTCAATTCAAAAAATAATGTATCTTTGACTGCATTCCAAAATTGAATTGGATGGATTGGATGAATCTAAAAAATACCTTGCTACTAGGAGGGCAATGGATGTTGTAGGAATCAGTCCTGCAGAGCAGGTATTGGCGTCTGAATACAATTCACTCTAAATGGATTATATTGTGAATCTTTGGTGATAATACTTCACTTGGCTGCAATACCCAAATACAGGATGCAACTTTTAAAGAAGTAGCTGCAATACTTCACTTGGGTAACATTGAGTTTGAAAAGGAAGATGACCCTGATTCTTCAGAACCTAAAGATGATCAATCTCGTTACCATCTTAAGGTTGTGTATGACCTCTGCTCATCCCTGGGTCAATCACTTTATAAAGTTTGTTCCTGTCTTTCATAATATGCCTCACCTGTTGCAATAAGCCTACTCATCCTTTTTTTGCTCGTGTTTATTAAAGCTAGAGCGGCTTCTTAATGTTATATTACCTGTAGTACCAGCTTGCAATCAATTGGGCCAAAGTGGAGGTCTACTGCCCCACGTCCAGTCAAGAGCTTAAGCAGAACAACACCAATAGCATTAACATCACTTTGTAAAGTAAGTTTTCCTGTCTGTCACCCAATAGCACAAAAGTTTTGTTAATATGTGATATGAATTTAGTGCTCGATCCGATTAGAAGAATGAATTCATATAAAGCTTTGTCATATGATGATAGTTACACTACACATTTTCTCATTCTTTAAGTAGGTAACGAATATGTATTATGTGTGTGACAGTGATATGTGATGAAAATGATGGAAATACTATGATCAATTATTACCTTGACTTTCAGAATTATATTTCTGAAATAAGTCACTTTAGGATTATAAGTTTTAACATGCATTAAGGCTCTCACTGGGGATCTTGAAAGTACTTTCCTAAACCATTTTTCAAAAGTTTCCTATGTTTGGTTTGTTGGATAAAATCAAGTCAATGGAAAATGATTTTATCTTCAAAAGAGATATCACCCCAAAAATATAAAAAATGATTTCCCTTTCGTTTGTTTGATTGTTTGACCGAAGTCATTTTCACATGTATGTCAATTCTGTTTAAGGCCATAAGCTCACGGGGGTACATAACAAAATTGATTTCCTTTCACTATCATATACAACTATACAAGGCATGCTGAAAAACATTAAGTGTTCGAGAGCTCACTAACTATTGGTGGAATGACACCGTGCTTATCTTCAGGCTCACAATTTTCTCTCTAGGCTTGGTGATCTTTGCAAAAAATGAAAATGTAGAGGTATGTTTATACGTTTGACTTCAAGCTTGTGCATCTTCCGTTCTGCCTTTGTTATAATTAGTTTGTTTGATAATCTGTGACAATGCTCAAAGGGTTTGATGGGATCCTGCCCTCTTTCATTTTTTCTTTGTTCTTTACCAAAGGTATTTTTGCTTGATGGTATCTTTGTTCATATACGATGAAGTTTCATTTTGAGCTATTTGGTTTCAGGTGGGTGAAATTACTGGTCTATCTAAAAGCTATTAGGTGTTAGAATATCTACTATTACCTTAACAGTTTAACATAAGCCTCGAGCTACAAGTTCCAACCTTTTATATGTGCTTACTTTACAGGCTGCTCCCCAACTACTCTTTTCTGTTTTGATTTTAATTTAGGTGTTTGAAAAGTTAGAAGCCTCGCATCAGTTCATTTTTTGTGATGTATTTACGCATCTTATTTTTATAAAATACAGTTTTATTGTTTTACCAAGCATTGGGCACGGACCGTCGCGCAACGCGCGTGCCCATGCTAGTAAATTATATAAACCCATAAAAAATTTATAGTGGTGTCTATTAGGGCTACCATTATTTAATTACATTTATGTGTTTAAGGATATTTTCTCAGCTGTTTTTATAATGTCAGTACAGAATTAAAGGCAGAATAATGAGTTTTGAATCAACAACCTTTACACACACATATATATAGGGGTGAGTTCTAATACAAAGAGGTCTTCCCATAAAAAGTGAGAAGTGATTTAAGCCCTTGATTACTTAAAAATGGATGGTATAGATCAAAACTCACGGTCAACCAAAATGTGTAATACATAATAGCAAAAGTGCATATGCGATATGTAATGGTGCACATTCAGCTACGAAAAAAATATCAGAAACAATAGTTATACTTCTTATTTGTTTTCTTAAAAAGTGATGCACTTTTGTGTTAGTCTAATGCACTTTTCCTCCGTAGTCATGCACATTTGTCACGTTATTTCTCAAAAACGTTTTTGATAATTACACTTTTGGCACTGAATTTTACCCTTAAAATTTGATCTCATCCACTCATTTTCTCATCTTAACGGCTAAGATTACTTCTCACTTTTCATATGGGGAGCACTTTTCATATGGGGAGTACTTTATATACTTCCTCCGTTCTTTTTTAGTTGCAATGGTCAACATTTCACACTTGCCAACACACATCTTTGACCGTAATTATATCTTAATCTCTATTAGTTAAAAATAATTAAAAATCAGATTTTGAAAATTTGTAATGAGATGAATTGAACAATATATTTTTTTAAAAATAATTTTCGTAAAATAATACTGTAAAATGTAGTCAAAGTAGAACACATGAATAGTGTAAAATTCAACATGTTGCGATTAAAAAGAAACGGAGGATATATATATAAAGATATTTTCTTTTGGACTGTTTTCAATCCGAAATCAGAACAGAACAGACCATATTAAACCAGACTAGACTTAAACAGACCAGACCAAATTAAACCAGACTAGATTAAAACAGACCAGACCAGACTTAAACAGACCGGACTAGACCAAACTTGGATAGTTATAAAATATACACAGACTAGACGTTTGTAGACCATACAAGACCAGTTCAGACCAGACCAGACTAAACTTAAACAGACCAAACCAAACCATCAAATTTCAGCCCAAAAGAAAACATCCTAAATAAAAATGATACTCCATATAAATCTACCCGTGCATTTCATAGTTTAATATACAAAAGAAAAAAGTAATTGATCTAAATAAGAGTAAAGCAAAAAAGGAAATTTAAATTTATTGTTTTATATAGGAAGACGTAGTTATAAATAACTGAAGTGTCAATCTCTTATTGGCTGACAAAAATAATTAATATCACTACTTAAATCCTGCAAAATAGTTACGAAAAAGACTTGTGAGTATGAAACATGAATAGGACTTTGAGTTAAAAACCTTATTAAGAAGTTAGCAAATGATACTTCAAGCCTGTGACCAGGTCTTCGCACATGTGTTGGTCTTCACTATCATCTTCTCTGCTCTAGATAGTTTCCATACTTCTCTTTTGAGACAAAAAAGTGACTCGTCACTGCTTCAAGCCTACAAGATCTCTATTAAATAGTGATGCATTTATAGAATATTCTATGTAGAAAAGGCTAGAGATGTTCTAGAGAACTATAGGTACAAGTATTCTAGAGAATTTTCCACTAGAGAATTCTTATGTAAAATCTAGAGTAATTAGTCATAGTACGTTGTAGAATACTCTAGAATCATAGCATTTAATAAGGATCTAGAATGATCCTCTAGCTCCTATAAATAGGACTCATTGTACTCATTTGCAAACCAAGCAAACCAAGAAACATCAATATAATATATCTTTTCTAGAGACAAGAGCTCTACTCTAAAACACCTCATCTACACTACACCTCACTAAAATCACTTAACATATTCATATACCAACAACCTCTTCTATTTTCTAACAAGTGGTATCATAGCCTGTTCGATCACAAGCGGGCGTTATGGCGACATCAAGCTTCTCGGTATCGACTCCAATGTTCAACGGAGAAAGCTACGACTATTGGAGTGTCCATATGAAGACTTGCCTAGAATCACATGATCTTTGGGATATTGTTGAAGAAGGAATCATCACTCCGGAAAAAGGAAGCGACGACGCATCAACTTCCGAGGTATGTAAGAAACAAAAGCAGCAAAATGCTAGAGCTCTCTATCTTCTTCAACAATCCGTTAGTGATACCATTTTCCCGAGAATAATTCGTGCTACTACGACAAAAGAAGCTTGGGATATTCTTAAGGAGGAATTTCAAGGAAATGAGAAAGTTAGAACTATTAAATTACAAAGTTTAAGAAGAGAGTTCGAAAATTTGAAGATGAGAGATTCTGAAATGGCAAAAGATTATTTCTCTCGGGTTATACATATAGTCAACGAAATGAGAACTCTTGGAGAAAACATAATCGACGAGAAAATAATCCAAAAGGTCTTAATCAGTGTGGATCGTTGCGCTTACCGCTACACTAAAAGCAATCGCTGATAGTGTAGCACGCCCTTCCCCCTTTTATAGAACAGGCAAAGCGCCACGCGGTCCGATTGCACCGGCAGGCTGGCAGATTGCTGACCGCAGACCCGCGGCAGGCCCAACAATCTCCCCCCCAGCACCTGCCAGCCTACAACTGAGCAGCATGCTGTTGCCGGGGGTCGAACCCGTGACCTTTGGCTCTGATACCACTTGTTGGTCCCGTTTAATATGGCAATCAGTCTAGAGGGGGGGGGGGGTGAATAGACTGATTAGTTTTTCTAATTTTCTCTAAGTCCAAAGTGACTTATCAGAGAATGTCTGATTCTGGTGACAGAGATAGGCTGGTTCTGATATCAGAACTGGTCTTGGCAGCGGATTCTGATTGGGGGTACTTTAACTTTCTAATCCTATAGCATCATCAAAATCTAATTACATTTATTCCTTACAATCAGTCTCCCTGAAAAATATGACCGTGTAGTGTCGGCTATTGAGGAGTCAAAAGATCTATCAAAAATGCCCATCACTGAATTAATGGGGTCACTAGAAGCACGTGAGCACAGGCTTAACAGGCGACATGAAAGTTCATAAGAAAGTGCCTTCCAATCTAAGCTCGACATTAAAAGGAATGACTCAAGAAATGGTGGAAACTTTAAATCTCATAAATATGGGAATTCTAACAACAAGGAGAGGAAGACAAACTTTCCACCATGCAAAATATGCAAGAAGACTAACCACTTAGAGAAAGATTGCTACCATCGAGGAAAGCCACAATGCAAAAATTGCAAGAGGTTCGGGCATGAAGAAAAAGACTGCAGGGATAGAAGAAATCATCAGGCCAACTATTCCGAAGATTTCAAGGAGAAGGAGTACATGTTCTATGCATGTCACTCGGCAATCGAAACAAAAGAAGAAGAGTGGTACATCGATAGCGGGTGCAGCAACCACATGACATCCAACGAGACCATCTTCCATGAGTTGGATACTTCTATCAAGACAAAGGTCAAGATGGGCAATGGCGAATTGGTGGAGGCAAAGGGAAAAGGTACCATTGTCATAGATACAAAGAAAGGTACGCGCTATATTAGAAACGTTCTCCTAGTGCCACGCCTTGCACAAAATCTACTAAGCGTTGGCCAAATGATGGAAAGTGGATATGCCCTACACTTTGAGAAAAATTCTTGCCGAATTTATGACAAGAAAAATAACCAAGAAATTGCCGAAGTAAAAATGGGAAATAATAGAAACTTTCCCATTCAATGGCAATATCCACAAAAGGCAATGTTGGCTCAACTAAGTGATACGAGTCTATGGCATCGAAGATTTGGGCACTTCAATCTCAATGCCTTGAGATTACTACACCAAAAGAAGATGATGAGAGACATGCCACCATTGGATGAAAAAGAAGGATTATGTGAAGGATGTATGGTTGGGAAGCAGCATAGGCAACCATTTCCAATAGAGAAAACATGGAGAGCCAAACAGATACTAGAGCTTGTCCACACCGATGTCTGCGGTCCAATGCGCACACCTTCAGTTTCCAAGAACAGGTACTTCATACTCTTCATCGATGATTACTCAAGGATGACATGGGTGTATTTCTTCCAAGAAAAATCCGAAGTTTTTAGAATATTCAAGAGATTCAAGAACTTTGTGGAGAAACAGAGTGGTCATCAAATCAAGAAGTTGAGAAGCGATCGAGGTACCGAATACAACTCAAAAGAATTTGACCAGTTCTGTGAAGATGAAGGCATGAAGCATCAACTAACAGTAGCATACACTCCACAACAAAATGGGGTATCCGAAAGGAAGAACCGCACAGTCATGGAGATGGCAAGATCAATGTTAGCTGAAAAAGGAATGCCTAAAATGTTCTGGGCAGAGGCGGTATATACTTCAGTCTACCTACTCAATCGATGTCCAACTAAGGCGGTTTTAAACAAAACACCTATTGAGGCATGGTCGGGACGAAAACCTTCAGCCAAACATTTGAAGGTCTTCGGAAGCATATGCTACATTCATGTTCCCTCTGTAAAAAGGCACACGTTAGAAGATAAAGCAGAGAAGGGCATCTTCCTTGGTTACAGCTCCAAATCCAAGGGATATAGAATTTACAATTTCGAGACTAAGAAGTTGGTCACAAGTCGAGATGTGGAGTTTGACGAGCAAGCCTCTTGGAATTGGGAGACGGAAAGAGTTGAAAGAAAGGCAACTACCACCCAAATAGAGGAAATCCCAGAAGAAGAAGATCACGATCAATAAAGTCCCACATCTACTCCAAGATTCTATTCCGAAGCCAATACATCAAGCGAACATGACTCCTCGCCAGAATCCCCACCCCTTCGGGTAAGAACTCTAGCAGACTTATATGAGTCTACTGACGTCTATGAAACATGCAACTTTTGTTCCTTGGAGCCACATAGTTACACTGAAGCCTCCAAAGAAAAAGTTTGGATTAAAGCAATGGAGGAGGAGATAAAAATGATAGAAAAGAATGATACTTGGGAAATGGTAGATCTTCCACATAACAAGGAGGTTATTGGAGTCAAATTGTGACACTCCAAAAAATTTAAATAAAAATAAATAATTAATTAAATAAAAACGGATAAATTTGTTAACCGAATAAAATGTTAGGAGTAACATTTTAAACAGATAAAAAATGATGATTTATATGGCAAACTTTGACTTCATGGAATTAAATTAAAAGGTGTATGGGCTAATCAACTCTTAATGACTTAAATACTACACATAAATAATACATACGGGAATCCATATCTGCACATACATATACGAAATATCAAAAGTAATAAAACATTGACCTGCACTATACATATATAATCACACATAATAAGGAAACCGATTGTATATAAAGCTATTGACACCAGGACTAAGAAAGCCCAGAAGCTTCGACCTGCGCATATAATCTGCGGATACCTTATACAAATGCCAATAATAAGGCAAGTAATGAATGCAAAAGATTGAGTAACCTTTGACTTGAAGGCTAGAATATTCTCCAGCGGGTATTTATAGATGGTATTGGGCACCTGTTTTCTGCACACCAATCGTACGACTTGTGAGTGCGAGGGGAAGAGAACTAATGAGCGTAAAACTCTTGTCCGTGAGTAAGGAGAAGACTGAGTGAACCACGTCGGAAGGACGCTGCCGTCGGAGAAAGGAACCAATTGTCCCACGCACCGCCGGGAGAAGCACTGCAGCCGGGAGCTCGCCGCTACCAACGTGTCTCTCGTCCGTCAGTCGTCTTTAAGGTATGTATCGACCCTTGCGTTCTAACGTAAAGGAGACAACGATTACGAACCTACATAATACACTGCCGGTCCTTTTTAATTGCTGCGTCTTCACTTGAGCCGTTGTTTTGATTTGGCCGTCGGAACTAACAACAACAAATAATAATAATAATACTAATAATAATAATAATAATAATAATCACAACGACAAAAATGATAATGGCTAGTAAAACAGAATAAAATGGCCATCTTGGGATAGTTGTTCACATCGTCACTTTTAGTTAGATTGCCGATTTAATCATGTAGAAATGACTATGCTATGGATTTTTATATTTAGAGTTGTGATTCATTAAAATAATAATTGGATGATTTTGTCCTTTTTAATGGAACATATTAAAACGAGAATTCCCTTGGAACGATCATAGGAGGAAAATAAAGTGACTTAACTCTAATAAAGATCGAATATTGAGTTAGTTACATAAACCCGAAGTTAAAATTTTGAAGAATGAACTGATTAAGCTAAAGTATGAATTTTGGCCACCTTTAGTTAAGGCTAGATTATATTGATTGAAAAAGTATTAGTATACAATGGACCATATAATAATTTGATCAAGCATGTTAATTAGTAAATATTACATCTGGATACGACACTTGGATGATTACCGTATTATAAGCTAAAATGGTGATATAAAATGATTGGCATGTGTCAGAGATAGTATATATAATAATTTTAATAACTACGGGTGAAGTACGCAACTCTTGTCTAATTAATTAATTAACTAAATAGTGATTCGATTTAAATAAATTGTAATTAACGGAATCATTATCTAGTACGTACATTATAAATTAATTTGGGAATTGAATAAAAGAAATAAAAGAAATGAGTACGAACTTCCATCTTGATAAACTAACATGACTTGTACTACTGCTATACGAATTAAGTAGATAAAATTAAATCATATTCAAATGACTTTTGAGGAATAGGGAAATATAGGAAATGAAGAATAAAAAGGGATTAAACTTTAGTATGGTAGTGATTAATATCGGGTTTTCTTTAATAGAAGGTGAGGTAGGTGAAGGTGCGTAATCGGGGGATTAACTATACCATACTTGGAGCCTGAGGTAAGTCACATTGCAACCAAAATTATGTTTTTACCTCGTAAATAATTATTTACTTGATTTATGTGATGGTATGAATATTTTGATTGATGAATTACTTGTGAGCAAGTTGTATTTGTTGTGATTTTGAGATACATCGAATTATGTGTACACGTAAGATATTTTGGGGAAAATATAAAGTTATGAATTTAAGGATAATAATCCTTGTGGTAAAATTTTGTCCAAGAGACATAAATGTGAAATTTTTGGAAAGTCAAGATAAAAGACTGTTTTCATAATTGGGGCACCACGGGAGAAATCCGTAGGTGTCGGGCCACCTTCACGTCCGTTAATGGTGAGGGAGGGTTAGGACTACTACTACTTGAATTGAGAGGTGTAAAGCAAATTAAATAAATTTTGGAGGGTTCGGTAACCACCCCGAACAACTGGGCATTAGATCCCATTTATTAAAGCAGTAGTAGTAGTACCTATTCTCTTAAGGGTCTTTGAACCTAGAACTTAGGGAGTATATCCCATTTTGAGTAGGGAGACGTTGACGTCAGAACTACTTAGACTTCATACTACCCGGAGGGCTTGGAATCCCTTTAGGGGGTGTGCACACTTAAGGTAGAAGTCTAGATTCTAATAGAGGAGATGAGGTACCGAGAGTAGATCGGAGTGACCGTACAAACAACGGATCACTGGGCTCAAGAATCGAAATAACGCTTGAGCACCGCCCTTCTAACTAAATGATTAGGAGAATTAGCTATAAAGCTATTTTGAGGAAAAATCAAATATTTTGGTACTTGGAGAATTATTCTTTGAAATACTTACGAGAATTATTGAAGAAAATCTTTTGGAGATATTATTACTCTTTTTGAAATTATCGGGATCTCATTTTTGTATATACTATATACAAATACTATTTTTCAACAAAACTATTATTTTACGGGGTTGGGTGGGACTTACTTAGCTCTAAAGCTAATTTTTTGTGTTATTTGTTTCTTTTATTTTCTTATGTTACAGATGATGTGGTTTATGAAGACTGATGCATTGAGAGCGCTCCTAGAAGACTTTTAGAGTAGTCCCATTTAGAATAAACTTTGTTAGACTTCGTTATTCCAAATGTTGAATTCAATAGTTACTTTAGATACATTTATGGTGGTTAGCCGTAGCATCCAGTCGGGTTAGGGCTGGGTGTGGCGGTAACACGCCCCTTTTCTTTGTTAATGTTTAATTCCGCTGCAAACAATTGAAAGTTTTACTTAATTAGTAAAAGTTTATTATTTCTTTAAGTATTATTTTGGGAGGGAAATTTGGGGGTGTTACACAAATGGGTGTACAAAACGAAACTGAACCCTGATGGCTCAATTCAGAAGCATAAGGCAAGGCTGGTTGCAAAGGGGTATGCTCAAATACCGGGAGTTGACTACACAAAGACATTTGCACCAGTTGCCCGGATGGACACAATAAGAACACTCATAGCTCTTGCAGCTCAAAAGAAATGAAAAATTTATCAGCTAGACGTTAAATCGGCCTTTCTAAATGGAGAACTAAGAGAAGAAGTGTATGTGGAGCAACCAGAAGGATTCATCAAAGAAGAAGGAAAAGTTCTTCGTCTAAAGAAAGCACTTTACGGGCTCAAACAATTAAGCTCCACGAGCCTGGTATAGCATGATTGATGGGACTTCACCCGTCAAGGGTTCAGGAGGAGCAAGAACGAGGCTACACTATACATCAAATCCCAAGGTAAATCTGACATTCTCATCATCTCTCTATATGTTGATGACTTAATTGTCACGGGAAATAATTCAAAATTAATTGAAGAATTTAAGAGAGACATGATGAACACCTTTGAGATGAGTGACTTGAGATTAATGCATTACTTCCTTGGCATGGAGATAAGTCAAGAAGAAGAAGGCATCTTCTTATATCAAGAAAAATATATCAAGGACATGCTAAAGAAGTTCAAAATGCAAGACTGCAAAGCTGTCGTCACTCCGTTGGTTCCTAATGAAAAATTAAAGAAAGAAGATGGGTCAAAGCCAACGGATGCTACCGATTACCGAAGTTTGATTGGGAGTCTACTCTACTTAACGGTTACGAGGCCGGACATAATGTATGCTACAAGCTTGCTCTCGAGGTTCATGGAAAGTCCAACTGAGACTCATTATGGAGCGGCAAAAAGACTCCTTAGGTACCTACAAGGAACCATCAATTATGGTATTTGGTACAAAATAAGTCCTGACTCACGACTAAGAGGATATAGCGACAGTGATTGGGCTGGATCTCAAGATGACATGAAAAGCACCTCCGGTTACGCATTTAAGCTGGGTTCTGGAATTTTCTCATGGGGATCAAAGAAGCAAGATTCTGTTTCACTGTCTTCAGCCGAAGCCGAGTATGTTGCAGCAGCCGGAGCTGCGTGCCAAGCTATATGGCTAAAAAGAATATTAGAAGACATGGGAGAATTGCAAACTTCTGCGACTGAGATATTCTGCGACAACAAGTCAGCTATTGCGATGGCTAAGAATCCAGTTCAACACAATTGCACTAAGCACATCGATATCAAGTATCACTTCTTGAGAGATGTCCAAGCAAAGGGGCATATTGAGATGAGGTATTGCCCGACAGAAGAACATTTTTTTTGAACTAGGGGGTCTCTCTTCTAGGATATCCCGGAGATGAGCACTAGGGACAGTGCTTTGGCTAGCTTGGGGGGGGGGAGAGTTTTATGGACTACTCGCATTCATACTCTTTATTCTAGTTCAAAAAAAATGTTCAAAAAAAAAGAATAAAAAGCTTGTTAAGTTGAAAAACTGAAAGGGCAACTTAAGCAAAAATAAAGCAAAAATAAGAGTGAGTTGTGAGAATTAAAACAGAAAAATGTGGGAAGCTGGGATGAAAACCCGAAAGGGTACCTAGGCAAAATGAGAGAATGAGAGAAAGTATGTCTTTTATTTCTGCAGGATCCTAAGGGTAACAATGAAAAAATTGAGGTTGATAGGAAGTATGGAGTTAAAGACCCCTCTTTACTGTTATATTTTTGGGGATATTTTTCGTATTGTTCTAAAAACACACGTAGATGTTGGTGTTGATACTCTTGTCATTTTAAGGACTTTTTGGGCTGGATTTGGAAGTGTTAAACATTTGACTTTACTCGAGGACGAGTAAAGAAGCTAAGTGTGGGGGAGTTGATATTCATGTAATTTCCGATTGTATGTTTGTATTTTTAACTAGTTTTTATTAGTTCTAGTTGTGGAAATTACACACTTTTAGTGTAATATTTTATTTTCATTTTTATTTGTAATTTGTTTAGATTAAGATTATTCTGAGCAAAACAGGTCAAAGATCATCCAAGGGATCAAGATTGGACCTTAAAAAATCAACGAAAGTGCAAGGAGACTAAAAAGATTTCGATTTGGAAAAAATAATCATGTACCCGGTCGAGTATTGCCTATACCCGATCGGGTATTCTCTTAATTCGATTGTCCAAATCAAATCCGGGAACAAATGATCGTGGGTGCAAATTTTCGTGAAGATTTGTCACATACCCGATCGGGTATGCCGACATACCCGATCGGGTATGCCCAGAAAAGTGACTTTCTGGGCAATTTCCTAAGATACCCGATCGGGTATCCTATATACCCGATCGGGTATCAGATCCTGCAGCTCCCAAAAGCCTATAAATACACCCCTTTCCTTCACATTAAAATCACCAATTCATATATACTTCTAAGATCAGTTTAGACAAGTTATTTTTTTATATATTCTTCATGTTTAGTCTCCAAATGAGGAGCTAAACTCTTCCATCTTGGTTTTGCTACTTTGAAGCTTAATGAATTGTAAGTTGTGAGTTATTTTCTTTAATCTTCTTCCTTGAATATTAATTAATTCCTATTCTTATTTCATATTAATATTTTGAGCATTACTTAAAGGATCAACTAGTTTTGTTTCATATATTAATTAATACTAGAATGGGAAAGTTCCCGAAATGGGACTAAAAAAGTTTGAAAATTCCAAAATAGGACTGTCATGTTTTTATTCCCAAAATAGGACTAATTACTGCTAAATTTGGAAAATACTGTCATGTTTGAAGTCTGGTACTGCCAAAACATGACAGTAATTAGTCCTATTTTGGGAATAAAAACATGAAAGTCTGATGGTCCTGGATAGGGTAAAAGTCTAGAGGGGGGGGGGGGGGGGGGGGTGAATAGACTTTTAAATCTTTTTCAACTTTTTGAAGTTTTTGCCTCTAGATGAATTGATCTATAATCTTTTGAGAGATTAATAGATGCACATCGGAAGTCTTTACCCTTTTTCTAATGAGTGTGTGACAACTTTCTACCTTGAATGATGTTTGGACTTTAAACTGTGAGCAGTTGGCTTGGCAGTTGGCTAGATGGCAGGGAACTGCTGAGGCAACTGCCAGTTGAAAATAGGAGTTTGAGAAAGATGATAATATGGCCTTGCAGAGAATGATGAGGGCTTTCTGAATATATGTTGAGCTGAAGATAGTAAAGAGTTTTGCCTGAGCAGTTGTCACGCCCCGGACCTACCGGACACGTCAACAACCCGCCGTACAGTATGAATAGTCAACCGCAGTCCAACTCATCCATACTATACTAGGCGTCTTGAATATCATTCACAATAGTACATCCATAAACAAACATAATGTAAAATAATCAATTGAAGTCAGCGGAAACGTTTAATACAAGTGTTTATGCCACACTCCGGCAAACATGGGCATACAAGCCCCAATAATCATTCAAAAATATCCATGAGCATTAATTGAAATGTTTTTAAAATAGAGACGGAGGAAGCACGAACCACGTCTTCCTTCCTAGATCTTCCCGAGGCAACGGGCACTGGTAGCAAGCTCTACTCCCTACCTGAAACTGTGAGGCGGCCTCCCCCGTGAAGGGGAGGTCAGTACTTGGAAGCATTTGACAAGTACAATGACAACTATACCAAGTATAATCAATGTTTCAATTTCTAAGACCCTCAAAATAGGGTGATATCATAATATAAATAATAATTTATATTTCCCACTTATTATCTCTATAATAAGTAAATTTATTTATTTGTCGGCACACGGCCCATTCCATATATTTCATTATACCCGTCGTTAGCACGACACCGCCCGTAGGTCTTATCATCCTTTACGAGACTTGTCACCGCTCTCCGAGGCCTCACCGGGTCCCCGGGCCGGAGTCCAACATCCCGCCCCTGAACTCATACCCATCGTCCCGTAGGAAGGTAAGGTCCATTCGGGGTCCTATCTTATGTGTTACCGCTGTCGGGAGCCTCGTAAGGTCTCCGGTTCGGATTCCACCCTAACCCGTGATCACGATGTAAGTCCATGCTATCCAACCCCGCTCTCTAGAGTCGGGAAGGGCCATGGTCCTTACTAATTACCAATACTCTATCGGCTAATCCTTAAAGACTACCGAATACACCCGTAGGCCAATCCTATTCCTAGGATCAATTTATTATTCACTTTATCTTGGGTATCCCTTAAGGACTACCCCTAGCATCACTTATCCACCTTAGTATCTCTTAAGACTACTTAAGGCTCAACAATTTACAATCCAAACCTTGGATCAATTCTAACATATTTCATTCCAAAACCCCGACTAGTATCATTATACTAGTCGGATAAATTCCAACAAAATCTCATTTCAGTTCATAGTCATATAGACAATTCTCAAACTAATTTTCCATTGAAAATATAGTTCATATCAATATACAAAATATAATCTTTAATCACTCATATATCCTTATATGAAGTTAAAATTATATTTCAACATAATATTCATAGTTAATCCCTTCATCAAGCCAATATGCTCATATTACATAATCATACACAATTTATCCTTAAATTTGTATATTATGCTCCTTTATTCATTTGACAACAATATTTTCATTTAGGCATTATTAATCATTAATAATCCATGAAAATAACATTTAACTACTTTAGGTAATCTTACGAAATTAACCCAAAGATTATAAACAACATAGTCAGCCATCCTCACCTTATGAAGTGCTGAAGTAGTTGTCCTTGTTAAGCCCTTCGATCAATCCCCGTTCTAAACCGTTTGGAGATGAAAAATCTGGGCAGCAGACGAAAGCCGGGCGGCTTTCGTGAAAGGTGGGCGGCTTTCGTGGTCTGCAGCTACGAACAGCCTCCTACACTTGGCGGTTTCCGGCGATTTCAACTCCTATCGATTCCACGACTCTTCTGAGTTAATTACCACCACTTTATAACATTATTCTACACTTTTAAACGTGTATA